AGGAGGGGGGCAAAAGGCTCCGGGACCTCCGCGCCCGCCTTCTCTCTCCCCCCCCCACCTCCTGTTTCGGGCCTGCCTCCATCCCCATCGCGCCCGGGGGAGCCCAGCCTGGGAAGGGCTTTCTCGCCCAGCCCGGCAGCATCAGCCGCATCCTCTCCCCCTGCCCGGCTGGGGTCTCGATCGCGCCGCCGCCCTCGGAGCTGCCTCCCTCTGGACCGTCTCGTCTGCTCCCGGCCCGGGGGACAGGAAGGCTCGGCCCCACCGAGCGCAGGAGGAAAGGAGGGAGACACACCCACCCATCCGCCGCCGGGCTGGGCATGGGTTAGGGTTTTGTGTCGGGTGGCCACCAGCCAGGCCAGGGAGGCATGCCGCCTTTTTTCCTCTTGTGGGTGCCCGGCCTCGTTGGCACACAGATACGCTGCCCCTAACTAAGGAGGCTCTGTTGCATCTCTGCAACAGATGTCATCTTTTGGAACCTATCCCGTGGCGGTGAGTTCCAAAAGACACCCATGGCATCACAATAGATGTCCGTTTGCCTTTCCCGAGCTTTATTTATTTATTTATAAGTTTTTTTTAAAGCCACGCCATTACCAGTGGTCTCTGACTGTCCCAAGCTTATGGGCTTTCCTTTGAGATGGCCAGCGTTTGTAAAAGGGCATTTCTGGCAGGGCGGCCAGGCGAGCCATTCGGGGGGAGCTGCCCTTCAAAAGCGTGACTTCTTCCTCCAAGCTCTGTCCTCGAATGATCACAGGGAAGGGTAGGCAGGAGAAATGCTCCTGCCTCCCCGATGCCCTTAACTCTCTGTTGCCCTCCTGTGCCCTCAAGCCTTAGGGTGACCCCCATGAATGGGCCGTCTCCAAAATGTCCCGTCCTCAACAGCTCAGCTCTGGCAAACTCACGCCTGTGGCTTCCTTGAGGGAGTCCGTCCATCTTGTGTTGGGTCTTCCTCTTTTCCTGCGGCTTCCCACCTTCCCCAGCGTGATGGCGTTTCCCAGAGCATCCTGCCTTCTCCTGATGTGGCCCAAGCAGGACAGCCTCCGTTTTGTCATTTCTGCCCTCAGAGAGAGTTCAGGTCTAGGACCCACGTGTTCATCTTTCTGGCCGTTCAGGGTATCCACAAAGCTCTTCTCCAGCACCGCATTTCAACCGAATCTATTTTTTCCCCTGTCAGCTTCCTTGATGGTCCGGCCTTCACACCCATACAATCTTGGTCTTGGCTCTCCAGGGACACACTGTGGCACTTTGATGATGATTGAATTCTAATTCCTTCATGGCTGCTCCACCCAGGCTCAGCTTTCTCTGGATTTCTTGGCTGCTGTTCTCCATCTGGCTCGGTGACTGGACCAAGGTAGACAAAATCTCTATTTTAATTTCTCCATTCTCAACACTCGAGTTGGGCAAACTTGACATGTCTCCATAAAACCCATGTTTGTTTGTTTAACTCAGTGATAACAAACCCACCCACTCCCTTTCCATCCTTCATGGATCATTGATTTTGGTTGCTATTTTGCATATTGTCTCCAGGTGAATTTTATATTATTTCTTTTTTTAACAGGATAGAGTTGTGATTCAGACCTATTACCTCTGACACAGGCTGAGTCAACAGCCTCTTACACTCACTTTCTCTCTCTCTCTCTCTCTCACACACACAGACACACACACACACGACATAAGTATTCACAAAATAAAATTAATGCTCTCTGAGTGACAGAAGGGTGCCATCACTTATGTAGTATCCTGTTTCCTACATTTAGTCCAATTGCCCTGCCCATAGAGTCATTGCAAGATGGCAGCTGCACTCTGCGCATGGTCAAGAGTAACACCAGTTTTGTCCTGGGGTTTTGCTATTCCCTGTCCTGCTGCATGCTGCAGTGGGGCAATATGAGGAGTCGGGGCCAATCCACCCCCCTACCTTCTCAAAACAAGCCCTCTGGAGAGCATGCACCTCGTTTTACAGGAGAATTGCACTCCCTGAAGAAAGTTAAAAGTGCAAATATCTAAAAATTTGCCAGTACTCAAGAGTAAGGACTTTTAGGGAAAATGCACTGCCTATCCCTTCTCTGAGTCTTGTTACCCTACATTTATTTGGGTTCTGGAAGGGATCCCACCCCATAAATATTGCTAGTCTATCTCAACCTTCTCCTGGAAGATTCCATGTACAGCAACCGGCTCTCTAGAAATCTTTACAGCCTTGCCTTGTTGCTCCCTCTGTCTTCTCTCCCAAGAATGATCCGTATTTTCATTTGTTTTCTTATGTCAGGGTGACCGAAGGGCTTTCTCATGGAAAGCAGAGAAAATTCTCTCCTTCCCCCCAAGCTGGGCTGAATCAGCTCAAGAACATGGAAAGCTGATTAATGGGGGTAGTTGGTTAACTTTGGGGGGGGGGGGAATTCACCATTTATTGGCCAAATGTTCGTTATAGTCAGAGCTCCTATTTCATTGTGCCTTAACTTGGCAGAAGCTGGTCGGTGGTGCAGGACTGAAGCCCTTACCTGCTAGTGCAGAGACAAACGTAACGGATCATTCGGGATAAAATCCTGATGTTTCGGGGCAGAGCGCCTGCTTTCCATCCGTGAAGTCCCAAGAATGATCCCCAGCAAGAAAAAGTGCCTGCCTAAAACCCTAGGGAGCAGCCACCATCAATCATCACAGTTGAATTTACAACCATGAGGACTAGCCACTTATTTTTTCCCTGTTTTAGTAGGGCAGCATTAAATTCCGACGATCCCAGACACAGACTTCATGCTTCCAGGCCAGGTTCGGTACAATGCATGTCTCAGAGCACTCCTACCATTTAGTGCAGAAAATCCTGAGCCTGCTGGACCTGCTTGTCCTGTGTTGCTAAACGGCTCATACCAGAATAACAGATATTAAAATTATTAGGATCCCTGCATTTTGTTCCTTATTGTTATTCTTATTACTAAAAAATACAGCAGCGGCTGTTGCTACCTTTACCCCCTACTTTTTCAACAGCAAATTCAAAGAACTCCTGCTCCTGCTCCTCAGTTTAATATCACTGCAACGACAACCCTGAAAGGCAGCACAGTCCAAGAAAGACTGCTCTCAAAGGTTACCCCGTGAGGTTCATGATGGAACGGAGCTTGAACCCAGATCTTCCCAGCCCTAGTTCAACCCTCTAACCATTGTACCACTCTTCCTAAGGAAATGAAGAAAGAACACACACACGACAAAGGGATGTTGACATAGTCTCCCTTCTATGTTCTACTGCAAAGCAAGGAGTGCAACGGGGCGGGGTGGGTGGGGTGAGGTGAGACTCCTGTAGCTCATCAGCCCTTATTAGGTTAATTCCAGCTAATTGTAACGCATTACTCAGTGGTAAACTGTCATGTGATGAGATTACCCAGCAGAGACTTTTTTTGAGCACCGTTTTCTGCCCTCCTCCAACCACCACCTTCTTACTGCAGGACTCCGGAGTCTCTTTAAAATATATTTCATTGCAAATCCACACGGCCACTGGAGGCAGCTTTGGTGAATTAAATATTGCCGAGAGAGTGACATAATTCAAAGAATCCTCCCGCTCGCTGCAAGGGGCTTGGGTTTCCAAGCTAGCCCTCGGGAACGCCTTGTGGCAGCCCAGAGCTCACCTCCGTGCAGGAAAATCTGGCCCTGCGCCACCCTTTGCCCACCCGGGAGCCAGCAAAATTGCCACTTAGCGTTGACTCACAACGCACGGCACAAAGAAGAAGCCCAAACAGCTCACCCAAGAATAATCGATACTGCACTGATTATAATAGTTCAAAACAGGGAATAAGCAGGACATTCTGACCTTGAGGTAAGGACTTGTTGTGTCATCTGAGAATATGTAGGCGCGACACAATATGGTTATTGTTGTTGTTGTTATCACTACTGCTATTAAAAGAAAAATCCCATCTTTTGTCCAGCAAACTCAAGGCCACATAGGCGGCTCACCTCCGCCTCACTTTATTCTCACAAAAACGTAATCTATTTCAAGCAGCAGATGATGATGCAGCCTCCCAAGCCCTGGGCAAACGCGAACAAGAAAAGGCACACTCACACCCAGCTATGCCGCGGTTATGAGGAAGGCCGGCCCTGCCACAAAGCAGGCCATGGCAGCTACCCGGGGCGTTTCATCTTGGCCACCATAGAAAAACAACAAACGAGCCAATTTCATTTTCCTGGTTTATAAACCAGAGTTTTTCTGCCCGTTGTGCCTGCCGAAATGAGCGGGCCTGGGGTTCCTTATGTCACTGGACCTGGATGCCGGGGAGGCCACCGGTCGCTGCCCTGCCTCCGCCACTAAAATATCTCAGGATCGCCCTGGCGAGGAATCGGAAGCAAAATCCCCCCCCCCCGAGGTCTCTCAAACCTTTGCTCCGGGAAGAGAGCGTAGAAAACACCGATCTGATTTCAGCGCCTTGTTTCACAAATAATAAAAAGGCAATTAAAGCACTGGCCGTGTCTGCTTGCGTGCCCGCAATGTGGCCAAGCTGCTGCCCACCGGATTTGACACGTCTCTCCTTGCCAAAGTCATCACCATCATGCAAACGTCCACCTTGCCCTGTTCCCCAAAAGAGGAGGGATACTTTTGGGGCACCCCCTCAGCTCCTGCTTGAAAGCTCCCAGGCCAAGGGAGAATTTGAAGCCAGGTCTCCCCATCCTAGGCTCTAACCATTACACCCGCCGTGTGTTGAGTCACGTTTTGTACTGCTATAACTGAGTCAGTTAAATTAATCAGGGACATTTTAGAAAGCGGAAATCATTCCACAAAGCATCAAGGCCATGGGGAGAAGAATGAAAGCATTCCCAACTCCACGTCCTCTGAAATTTTAATCGGCAGGATGCTCCTCATCTACTGTCTGGCGTGCTTTTTTCTTTCTCCCTCAAATAACTTTATCAGTGGCTCTGTTGGTTTCTTTCCCCCGTGTCAATCTCACCCCCTCCTTGCTGTTATTCCCCTCGCACCATCTTGACGATGATCCGTTTAGTCACACTGCACGGCTGTGTTTAGACTGGACTGCCTTGACAGATCAGCTCCTGTGCGCTTCCCAGCACGTTGTTTCAATTCACACCGCTCTTTCTTTCCTCATTGCGCGAGAACTTTCCCCTTTGTTTCAAGCACAATGCCTCAAAGTTTGCCACTGGTGCTTCCCCCCGCCCACCCCCTCTGGGTCCGGCTTTCTCCGACGGCATAAAAGTCGTCTGTATAAAAGCCCAATGACAGGCTCTGTCTCAGCTGCGCCCATCCATCGGTGCTGAGAAAGTGCCAGGCTCAGAATAAGAACCGCTTCTGCTTGCTTACATTTCTGGTGCCTTCAGAGAAAAGCTTTAAAAGCCCGAAATTTTGTGTTGGGAACGCTTTTCCTGGTGCAGAGAGGCCCAGATGGCTCCTGTTTGCTGTGGAGGTGTTCAGGATGAGGAGCCCTGTCAGGGAAAATAAATGGCAACCCCAGCTCAGCCCAAACAAGGTTGAAAAGACACAGAGCTTTGAGCCCAGATATTTTAAAAAATTAAAGCTTGGAGCTAGAATAGATAATTTGTGTTTTAGATTCTCCCACGTTTAGATACTCAGTTGCTGGATAGATCAGTGATTCATTCATTCCGTCTCGAATCGGGAGAGGTTTGTTTGCAATCGCTTGGATCATCTGCTATTAAAATAAAGTTCCCATTCCTCTTTAATTCCTTTGGAACTGCCTTTAACATGAAATGCACCCTCTTGGTGTCTCTCAGGGCTGTCCTCGTCCATCGGGCGGGGGGGGGAGGAGGGAATCCGCACACCCCTGCCGCAATCTTTTCCCAGACGTCTCTTCTCCCGGCTCCTTTTCCTGTCCAAAACGCAGGTGGCTTGGCGACATGCTAGACTGAGCACAGTTTGGGGTGGGGAACCCTGGGAAGCTAGGAGATGGCATCTTGCAGAGGTTTTAGAGGCGCAGCAGGAGAACAAGCAGATGACAAGAAGAAAGGGAACAGGGGCTGCTGCGTCAGAGGGGATCAAAAGGGGAGAAAGCAGCGGGCTGTTTCTGCCACCTGGGAGGGGAGATGACTTCCACACAGGGAAGCACACCATCCCCCCCAATCTTTGACAATCTGGGGAGTGTTAAGCATACACCAGATGAAAGCTGGAAGAGAGGAAACATAGCGAGGGAAGAGGGATCCATGGAGGGGGACTCGGGATCTGAAAAATGCCACTTTGATTACAGCAATCACCTCTGCAACAGACTTGCTCTGCTGGCCTTGGGCAAGTTACTTGAATGCGGGATGAAACACCAACCACACAAGTAAAACATGTACGAAATATCCATTGGCTCCAAGAGTCTTGGGTATTTGGTACATCTCTCACGCAGTGATTTATTGCCTATGTTTCATTTTTATTCTGTATGTTTGGGTAAGCAAGGAATAGGGTAAGGAATATGGTAAGGAATAACTTTTTCCCCCAGTGACTCATTTTACTGACCTAGGAAGGATGGAAGGCCGAGTCAACCTGAGCCCATCGGGATCAAAACGCAGGTCGTGAGCAGAGGCTTGGCTTCAGGACTCGCACAAGTCCTGTCACGTCACCACAAAGCTGAACACAACCCTCCTAAAGTCGTTGCGTCCGTGTCTCTGTTACCCAGCAGCCGACAGACAGGGCCTACAGACTTTTGGCTACAGATGAAGGAGAGGAGGAGAAACTCCAGCCGCATATCCAGAAGTTGCTTTACAGTTTCTCCTCGCCCTCCCTAACCCTTACAACATGAAACTGCATCATATTTAAGAAACCGATGCACATACCCTGTCTGATTTTTTTTTTGCCAACGGCACATCTGCCCGTTTCTACATGCAGATGTTGTGCCAAACTGCTCACTTCAAAAAACTTGGGAAAAACAGAGACTCGGAAACGTGGCTATTTTTACAGTTGGCTTTGGACCCATCGGTTCCACCGGGAGGTTCCCAAAAGATTACCTCT